AGCATATCAGAACTCATGTAGCCAAGTGTTTCTTTTCCACTTAGGAATCTATATGTTAATCCAAAGATGTTGTTCTAAAAATATTTTTCGAGGGGATGGGGCCAATTTCTCATAGACCGGTATCTCTATCAAACTACTAATTTCCTTTATCTATTGACTTCAAACAACTTTATAATTTACCTTCTTCACCAGACTTGGCCCCAAGCCAAATAAGCAAATTTAAAAAAAAAATGATTGAATTAATAAGTTAACAAAGAACCATCTTCAAACCACAAAGTAAAACTATATAAAAGAAAAAAACTTAAAATTCTGAATGCAGAAAATTCTGAATACAGAATTGGAATTCCAAAAATATGCTGAGCAGTGGTTAGCTTGTTTTTAGCTGTTATTGAGATGGCCCCTGACTCATGGCGATCTTATCCCATGCACAATGGAATGAAACGCTGCCTGGTCCTGCACCATCTCTGTGGTAGCTTTAGTTTAATAAGTGATAACTTTTTTTTTAAGGGAACAGCACTCATTGTTTTTGTTTTGTTTTGTTTTCCTGTGTGGTGGCAAAATATAATGAGATTGAATATTATCTAGTATCTTGATGATCTAGAATTGTACCTTGCCTGTAATCTGATGATAGCTTTAAACTTTTGGAGGAGGAAACAGATAAATTGTGTTTTATAGGTGGTTATGGAGCTACAGCTTTAAATATGAAGCGTGACCCCTTACATATCAAAACCAAAGGAGAGGAATTTCCTCTGACTCTGGGTCGGGATGTCTCTGGTGTGGTGATGGAGTGTGGTCTTGATGTGAAGTACTTCAAACCTGGAGATGAGGTGAGCTGTGCAGCACTGCTGCTGCTTTCTAAACGTGGAGATTGCATTCTGCTGCTTCTGGAAGTATACAGTATTCCACACTGTTGACCTTTTTCTCTTTCCCATCAATGTACTAAGATTTGGCTGGAACCTTCATTTTCTTAAGGTTTTCACAAATAGTTCTAAAGTACCTTGACTTTACATGGGTTTTCTAAATCTGGAACTTAGGAATTATAAGACTTTAAAATGTATAGGACTGGACATTTTTTGGTATTTATTTTTCCTGAAAGAGGTGTTATATGACAATTTCTACCAATGGATTAGGTGATTTTGAAATAGCTAAAGTTTGATATAATCACCTGTCACTTGTCACTTTGAACTTTTGTACCAAGAAATCATAATGAGCTTATAGTGATAGTTAATACTGTTCTAGGAAGCCACCGTGGCAAGTGGTGAAGGGCTAGGCTGCTAACCAAAAGGAAGGCAGTTTGAACCCACCAGCTGCTCCATGGGAGAAATATGTGGCAGTCTGCTTTCATAAAGATTATAGCCTTGGAAACCCTATGAGGCACTTGTACTCTGACCTGTAGGGTTGCTGTGAGTGATAAATCCAGACTAAATCTAAATAATACATTTATGGGATGTGGAAATAACTCTTTTGCTCTGTGTTGATTTGTGCTTTTCTTCACAGGGTGAGGTATGCATTGGGGAGCACTATCATGTTTAGCTTCATCATGTTTCTGATGAATTGTGTGTGTGGTTTCAGGTCTGGGCTGCAGTTCCTCCATGGAAACAAGGCACTTTCTCAGAGTTTGTTGTAGTCAGTGGGAATGAGGTAACTCACTAACTCTATGTTTAAATGCCATTAGAATGAATAAGCAGAGACCAGAAAAAATATGTCTGACATAATTGGTCATCTTCCAGATTGGGTTCATGTTTTATGGGCAGTTTTGAAAGACTTCAGTTAGAAAATCCCTTCTCTAGCCAATTTCCCCTGTGTTAAACCCTTTTTCTTTGTTCAAGTCTTTAAGCCTCCTGTGTTTGATTAGCCTCCTATTTTTAAAGTGATTGGCGCTTAAAAGAGCTTGGCGCTCCCTGTTATTGCTGAGGATTAATCCTTACTTTCCATTTGGTGTATTTGGTTCCAAGTATCTGTACTGGGTAAAACCAAGAAGCTCAGCAGGTTTCTATATCTCACTCCAAATCCCTGCTCCACAAGGCAAAGATAACCGCCTTGGCAGGCAGTGTTATTAAACGACATCAAATACTTTGTTAACCTCTATCTATGAGTGTTCAAGGAGCTCTGGTAGCACAGTGGTTAAAGCATTTGGCTGCTAACCAAAAGGTTGGTGGTTTGAGCCTACCAGCTGTTCTGTAGGAGAAAGATGAGTCAGGCTGCTACTGTCAAGATTTATAGCCTTGGAGAAACATTATGGGGCAGTTGTGCTGTGCCCTGTTGGATCATTATGAGTTGGAATCAATTCAATGGCAGTGGGTTACGAGGGTTCAAATTTTATTTGGATTTGTTTTAGTCATTTGTTGTTGTTGTTGTGTGCCGTCGAGTTGGCCCCGACTCATAGCGACCCCTCCTTGGGTTTCCGAGTCAGTATCACTACGGAAGTAGGATTGCCCAACCTTCCTTCCGAGGAGTGGCTGGTGGGTTTGAACCGCCAGTCTTCTGGTTAGCAGTCAAGTGCTTTAGCCACCATGCTACCAGAGCTCCTGTTTTAGTCATTAGTCAGTAACTAATGGGGTTAATGAGTATGGTCTTTTTTTTTTTTTTAATGAAGAATGAAGTAGCATAATAATCTATCTAGTGATGTAGCCTACAAAACATGACAGAACCTCTGTAAGGCAGGTTGAGCTATTTGAAGAATATTACTTTGGGTTAATCTGGGAAGTAGTGCATTCAAGGAACACTGAACCTTGAAGAATTTTATAGATTTATCTGTGAAAATTCTTGGGTTCTTATGAAGGTGAATGTACTTAATTTTGTTCATAGGTTTGCAAGTCATTGCTTATCTTTGACTCTTTTCAAATCTAGGTCTCTCATAAACCCAGATCACTCAGTCATACTCAAGCTGCTGCTTTGCCGTATGTGGCTCTCACAGCCTGGTCTGCCATAAACAAGGTTGGCGGCCTGAATGACAAGAACTGTACAGGAAAGCGGTAAGAGTGAACGGTAGCATCTAAACCTCCCTTCTTTCCTTCTCGGTTTTTGCAGTAGATGTGTCAGGATCATTAACATTAAGCTCATTTGCGTATGCAGAATTGTGCTAACATTCCAAACAATTCCCAAGAACTTTATTTGTATCCATTTGTACTCTCTTAACCTTATTCTGGTGATTCTTGGCCCAATCAGAGATTTTAAAACTGAGATGTGTAAGTAGGTTTCAGGATTCTGAATCTTCTAAAATAAAGGACAATTTTGGATGTGAATCTCTGGGAAAAAGAGCCGTAGCCATTGTCAGTTTTTTAAAAAGGGTAAGTGTCATTCCATAAAGTTTCTAATGAATGGTATCAACATACAGGGTTTTTTTTCATACCCCAGCCTTGAGCTGCTGTCACATTTGCAGATTTCTATGAAAACTAGATATAAAAGGGACTTCAAAAATTTGGTGAGTATATTTGAATTCTTACAGTGTTAATATTTGATACCATTTAGGTCATTTCTAGTTCTTTAAAGTGTTGAATATATGCATATTTGTGTTAGCAACAATACAGTGAGTAGAAATGTCTCAGGTGTACTTGAGTTCCTATCCAAATGCTGCCTCTTTCTGGCTGTATGATGTAGTGAGAGCCATTTCTGTGTGCTTTATTTTAAGGATTTAATGAGGTGATAGATACAAAACTGGTGGTATAGGCCATGGCCCATAGGAGGCACTGGAATGGTGATTACTGTTACTAGTTGTATGGTTATATTATTCTTTATATTTTAGAAAGTTGACATTATAGAGTAAAATGACCTTATTTTTTGGTAGCAAAACTAGATTGTGGTTGGTTGCTGCCTAGTAGATTCTGACTCATGGTGACCCCATGTTACATAGGGTTTCCAAGGCTATGACCTTTCTTTCAAAATTAGATTACCAAGCCTGTTTTCCAAAGAGTCTCTGAGTTTGTTTGAACCACCAACCTTTAGGCTAGAAGTCACGTGCCTAACTGTGCCATCCTAGAACCATAAAATGTTTGTAGTAAAGCAGAGAACTGTAGATCAAATTTTAATAAATTAAAATAAGTTGGCCTTTTGCTTACTAAGTATTGTGTGTGTACAGAGAACTAAAGGCATTGTAATTCTGTACTCCTGTTGTTGGGAGACACTGCACTTTACATTTTAATGTGTGTTGTATGGCAGACAGTGGAATTTAATGGAAGTTCAATAGATGTATTTCTGAAAGTGGTATGAAGGCTATTCACCTAATGAGATGCTCCCTGTTTATCTTAGAATTCCAGGCAAATATTTATTCAAAGGTCAACACTGTTTATTTTTTAAGCTTCTGGGCTTTTCTTAAAGTCACCATTTGCTTATTTTGTTTAAATTAAATTAATTTGATCATTTAAATTTTTTTAATGGTGTGTATTAGTTAATAACCTTGTATAAATCATATTCAAGATTTTTAAATCCTTAATTAGAATTATATGTTTTATTCTTTGTTTGTTTTCTTAAAAACATGGGACTTTATATGCCTACCAGACTGAACTAAGGCTCTGTAGCCCTAATTCCTTTTGCCTGGTTGAGGCTCCCAAAGTATGCTGTCTTTAGTGTGCTACTGAAAACAGTCTAGAGACAGAGGTCTTCTCAGATGTGTAAGTGTGTGCCCCCAGTCTGTTGACTTCGTGGGTACTTCTTTAGTCCTGTATTATTTTCTGTTTAAGCAGTAAGGATCTGGAACTGGGAAACTGGAGCCCTGGGTCCTGCTTTCTACTCTGCCACTAACTAGGTGACCACATGCACACTATTAATGGTCTCCTTGCAGTTTCCAATGAATGAAACAGTGTGGGTTGCAGGGAACACTTTGAGAAGTAGAAAGTTCTGTGCTTCATAAAGCAATTTTATATTACATTGAGTAGGTCTGTTTCTTTGATTTAGTCACATACTAACCAGACTAGAGTGGAACCCATTATGATGAGCCTCACTGGCTTGTGTTCCACATTCATAGTGATCTGTAAGATCCTTATTCCTGAACTGCACTGAGAGCTTGGGCACTTGGTCTGCTCTGAAATTTCATTTTACTAAAATGACTACAAATGGTTAGTAATAATTGCCTGTTATTTGAGAATCACATGAGGGATATGAGTACTTTAAAAAAATTATAGAAATTTTTTTTTAATGAAGAAATTATTATAATGTTACTTTATTATACTTAAATTCAAAGGTCCCAGTGTCCTAGCTGGCTTGTGTCTTATTTTTTAATTTACTATTCATTGGATTGGTGGAGCATATTTTGACTTCTTTGAACTATATATGTGTGTGTGTGTGTGTGTGTGTATTTATTCTGTTAGCTGTTGACATTAAAACATGCTTTAGTCTGCAGAAGACAGGTCAGTGTTTATCACAAAGAACTGACAGTCTGTTTTTTCTAACCAGTTATTCAAAAAATATTCCAGCTAATAATTGCAAAAACACCCATCAGCACCTTGGAAGATTTTACAGGATTTCTTTATAACAAATAGCTTTTGAAACTAAGACAAAGTTTTCTAAGAGTTCAGTGGTATTTGTTTTTTCCTTCTTTGTTTTGTAATTATATTTCTACAACAACTGAGAATCAGTGATCCAAGGGGTAATTGAATATTGGTGTTCTCATGATGCCATATAATATGTCATTTTTGCCCACATACTTGTATCACTAGAAAGTGGCAAGTGAAATTATTTCCTTGTTATCAGCCCAACCATAGCTTTCCATTAATTTTTCAGTAAGACACATAGACAACTTAGGGCTCTCAAGATTAATATTAGTTTTTTTTTTAATTGCTATACCTGATTTTTTAAAATATAGTATGATCTGATGGCTGTATTTATTGGTAGTGTCATGGTGCACTTGAGTATTTCATGCTCTGCCTAAAATTCATCTCTTGCTGAATAAGTTGGACTTCACTCTGTTTGACAGAAGTATTAGAAGGTGTTAGAAACCAATCCGTTCCTCCTCTACAATGTAATTTCACTTTTAAATTGTGTACACTTGAAATTCTATGCAGGGAATTTAGGGATACTTGTCATGCCTTCTTTTTTGAGATTAAATTTTATGACAGTAAAATCTTGTCATATAAGTATAAATTAGTCATTTAGTTAATGCTGTTTATAGAGTTAGGTAGGCTCAAACTAAAAAAATTGGATTTGTGCTCCCCCTACCCCATGGCTTTATGGAAATCAAAGTGACTGCCCAGTCAATGGAACAGCTTCCTATTTCAGGTTCCATCTACTGCCTTTTTTCACCCCAACACCCACCTGTTTCTCCCTTCTCTCCTTTCTCACCACGCCTGTGGTCTTTGGGTTTTCATTGCACCTGGCTAGACTTATAATGAGAGGAATAGGGAGAAAAAGAGAGAAAAACCCTTGCAGATTACTTGCATAAATAAATTGTGGGATTGGAAAGAGAGATGAGCAAGGGTGGAAGCTCTGGCCTAGCCAGTGTGATGCAAATGAATCTCTACTCACCTGTTCCATGAAGAGCCCCAGGAGAGTTCAGTTAAGAATAGTTGAAAAATCTTGCCTGGCAGTTTGCCTTTTACAGATTACTTTTCTGGGTGATTAGGGTAACTATCTTTTTTTTTTTTTCATTTTGTTAATGCATTTCATTGAAATATAATTTATGTACAGTGAAATACACAGAACTAAAGTGACATTGGTCAATGCATTGTTTTTTGCAGTGTTCCCTCCCCTCCCCTCCCACCCCTAGCAACCAACAAAGAAAGTTTCCCTTCATATATAAACCTTTCCTTGACCCTCCACAACGAACTAATACTATATTTGTCATAGTTACATATGTGGCAAGGGACTTATCTCTAAGATTTATAGCGGAAGAGTACAGGAGCCTACTATGGTACATACACATAATGGAATGCTATGCAGTACTAAAGAATAATGAACAGTCTGCAAAACATGGCATAATATGGATGAACTTGGAGGAAATTATGCTGAGTGAAATAAATCAATCACACAGAAAGACAAATATAGTATTAGTTCGTTGTGGAGGGTCAAGGAAAGGTTTGTATATGGAGGGAAACTTTCTTTGTTGGTTGCTAGGGGTGGGAGGGGAGGAAAGGGAACACTGCAAAAAAAAAATGCATTGACCCATGTCACTTTAGTTCTTTGTATTTCACTGTACATAAATTATATTTCAATGAAATGCACCCCATCATCTCTTTCGAAATTCAAATCTAGTTACCCTGGCTTCCTATTGGAAAGAGATTTGTTTGCAACTTTGAGTGAAAGAAAAGCCTTTGGCAGATTAATATTGAAGGGATTTCTTTAAAGTGAATATTAAGTTTTGTAGGTAAGAAAACCTAGTTTTTTTCTTTGACAGCACCGTAGTTCTCTGTCTTATCTTAAAATTTCTCACCTTTGCATCATAAAGCCTAGGAGAGTTGACTTAGTGGGAGACAGAAATATTCTTGGAAGACATTCTTAAAACAAAGCAGTGCCTAAGACACTTGACTGCTAACCAGAAGTCTGGCGGTTCAAATCCACCAGCCATTCCTCAGAAAGAAGGTTGGGCAATCTACTTCCATAGTGATACCACCTCAGAAACCCAAGGAGGGGTCTATGAGTCAGGGCCGACTCGACGGCACATAACAACAACAACAGCAATGGGTTACTTCTACAAGTGACTATGAACCACTGAACTATTTTCTACTGAACCCAAAGCAAATGTATTTCCAAATTAACTTCCCTTTGAGCAAATCTAGTGTCACCTGACAAGAGAGGAATATAGAAGTGTGACTTAGTTTCCTAGTGGTGCCATAACAGAAATTAAATTCCACAAGTGAGTGACCTCAGAGAACAGAAATTTTCTTAGTTCTAGAGGCTAAAGGTCCATATCAGGGTCACAGCCATGTCACTTTCTCCCATGTGCCACTCTCCTAGTTTCTGGTGTCTGCTGACAGTCCTTGCTGTTCCTTTGTTTGTACATGACATCTGTCTTCTCCTTTGTGTATGTGTGTATGCCTGTGTC